ATCACTGACACTTTTGGAAAACTATAACACCCATATCTAAGAGCTCCACCAACATCCAACCTATGGTAATAATGCATCCTCAAGGCAACAATAATGCCACTCCAAATCATGATTTGACCAGGACTGTGTTAGTGGCAAATCTCCCTCTCCCCAACTACCACTTACCAGGCTTGTATATCCAACACAGCATCAGCTGCACAGGATCTCCTCCAACAGAAGAGACTCTATCAACAACAGCTGGCATGCAAGAAAAAGGAAGCCATGAGAAACAACTGGGAACATGTCATTCAGGCAGTCAAACCCAAAGACTCAATTCCAGCACATGACATCAAACTCCCAAAGCAATGGTCCATCCATGGTGGATTGCCATATTCCCACAGAGACTTGGGAGGCACATTTTCAGGAACCATACATGGACACTCTGCGAAAAATGAAAGTCCTAGCCAAACTATAGAAAATCTGCCAATGTGACAGTGAGAGAGATTAAGAAATTTGCTCAACTAAGACCAGGAAAGGCCACAGGAGAAGACCTAATCCTAATCCAGGGGCCATTAAAAAATAACTTGAACTTCTGGGCTCCCACTCTGGCCTCTTGCTCTTTACCTGCATAGACACCCATGGCCGAATCCCCAGAATTGGGGCCTTGCAATCATTGTCCCCATACACGTATCTAATCAAAGTGCTTCACGTTTTTTTTAAATATTGAATGAGGATTATTTTTTTAAAAAATGGATTTGGTAAGACCATCCAATTCTGGGAGTATACAACCAGTCCAATACATATATTCAAAACATAACTAAAAACCTCAGGACTGCTGGACCAAAATGACACTCCCCTAACCCTGCTCCACAGCCACCGCAATCCAAGACCTGGGACCACAGCCAGTCTAAGAGACTTCTGGAAAGCAAGGACAAAAGGAACCTTAGTATCTCTGGGAATGCCACTCCAGAGGGTTGAGGCTGCAACAGAGAAGGCATGCTTCCATAGTCCCATAAAATGACAAATTTAAGTGATGGGATTTGGAGAAGGCTGACTCTGCCTGAATGCCTATATTGCAAGTTTGTTGTTGCTGTGGTTACTTAGTGTCTATTTAGAGTATTGGAAACAGAGGCTCACTGGCAGCCAAGATTTAAATGTCAGCCATATGCCTTCTACTGCACAGCTAACAATTTAAAGAACAGGTAAGTGCATGTTTTTCCTTTTTAAATATAAGCTTGGATGGATATGTCATCTAGACAGTGATATTTGCCTAAAATACATTTTGTATGCTGAATGGAACATAATTTGCAAGCAGAACTCAGCAAAGATCACATTGGTAGCAGCTTATCAAGTGCACTGGAAAAACCGTTTCAAAACAAGTTTTATTTTTGTCTTTTAATTTTCCTGCAACATTTCTAGAACTGGGGTGGTGGTAAAGTATAAAAAAGTATCAATTCCATTCTGTAACAATGCCGAATCAAGAGCTTCTTTTTTTAATTCGAAATCAAGCAGACAACAAGCCTCTCCAACTTGTTTGTCTGATGGGCCCATCTGAATTTCAGAGTGTAATTTGCTCAATTAACATCATTGTGACTGATCCACAAAGTACACGGGCTGAGTGTGCAAAACACACTAGATAAAATGTGATTGGCTAATTTACAATTCAGCATGTCCTGTGAACGTAGCCATTGGGTCATCCAAACTAAAATATTGTTGCCTTTACCTCGGAATTACAGAAACGGGTACCCAAGGTTATAATCTGATTTATTGAATTCAAAATTGTCTCTGTTTTGAATCTGGGAAAAGTTTAATTAAAAAGCTGGTAAAATCACAAATAGACCAACCCACAGACCAATCATACAAATACACCTATTTGTATGATTAGGTGTATTATACAAATTCAGAAAACTGGTTGAATTAAACATAGTGTAAGAACATACTACATGCTGTGTAATACTTGGTTATTTAAGGAATAAATCAATCTTAATTGGATAAAAATAGAGAAATTCTTCAGAAAGGTATGCTTTTAATTTCTGAGCCATTCTGTTAAAATTGTAGCAGTGAGGTTAAAGATTAACTGAGAAAAAGCAGTCCCCAAATTGAATGACACAGTACGTATTTTCATAAAAGCCCATAATAGATGATGCTTCTGTCCTCCAAAACTGGTCCTTAGATATAACAATTTTCTCTCAGAATAGTTAAGTTCTCTGCAATCAAGTAAAACTGCTAAAGTGCCTCTTCTTCTTTCTAGCAAAGCCACTTTCAAAACCTATGAGAAACCAAGGGATAGATAGCTGTGTGAAGCAAGGAATCATTCTGGATGAAAGCATGAAAAAACTATAGAGCTGTGGAACTAAGCACTAAAAGCAGAAGGCAACAAATAGTGAGGCTAATTTTGTACCCTGATCAGATAAACAAACACCCATATACACTCAGGCCCTAATTATCCCTGGTGAGAAAGCGCAGAGGTACCAGAAACATAGTAGTCCTTGACTTACAACCATTCTTTTAGTGACCGCTTCAAGTTACAAAGGCACTAAAAAAAAAAAGACATTTTCATCAGTTTTTCACACTTACGACTGTTGTAGTATCCCCATGGTCACATGATCAAAATCCAGACACTTGGCAACTGGCATGTATTTATGTTGGTTGTAGGGTCATATCATCGCCTTTTGCGACCTTCTGACAAAGTCAATGGGGAAGCCAAATTCACTTAACCATGTTACTAACTTAACAGTGATTACTTGTGGCAAGAAAGATGGTTAAAATGGAGCAAAACTCACTTAATAACTCTTGCTTATCAAGGAGATAAGCTCAGCATGCTTTTCCTACTTTATGTGCTCCAAAGGGAAGCTAGAGTAATAATTTTAGTTTAAATCAACGTTAAGTTTTGATCTGATCCTTCCCACTTCTGAGATATAAACTCAGCATGTTACTATACCAAACCCCCACTGATTCTTTAAAATGCGTTATTTAATTGTGTTAATAAAGAAGACACTGATATTCAAGTGAAGAATTTGTTGTATATTTATTATTCACAGTTAATTACTATCTACCAAATGCTGCTGCGTTAACGGATTACGTACATAGGCCTGTTTTATTTAAACACTGATTTAATATATATATATACACACAAGACATTATGTCTGCAAGGCTGCATGATATACACCAATTCCAAAATAAGAAAAACAATCAAATGGTCCAAATGTAGAATACCATAATTCCTTTTCCAATAATTTTAAAAAAGAAAGTGGGGATGTGGGGGGATGGAGAGAAAGACAGGTAGCAAGAAAAACATGAGAAATTAATAGGCTACAGGGTAGCTCGCTTTCTTTTTTTTCACCTGCTGAGAGAAATGGAAATATAAGGCAGAGTCCATCTCAGGAATAACACCTGTAACACTTAGTATAAAAAGGCACCCACCAACACAGGGTTCCCCCCCCACCCCGATCTGGGCAGAACAGCGCTTTTCTGTAAGGGAAGGTCTCTGTAGTAGTTTTGGGGGTCTGTTACTAAGGTAGAGAAGTTCCAGGTATGCGGCTCAGCAGAAGGAAATAAGGTAATCGGTTGGCACAGGAGCTCTGCAGGTGGCTCTCCCTGGTCTTAAAGTCTAAGTCAGGCATGTCAAACTCGCGACGTCGCGTGACGTATCGGAGCTTTTTTGCCATTGCCGGCAATGGGGTGGGCGCGGCTCCGGTATGATGAAACTGGCCCGCGGGCCGGCAGTTTGACACCCCTGGTCTAAGTCATTCATAATATTATGCATGGCACCTATGAGTTTTATCAGGATAAAAAGTTGAATACAATCTCTCTTCTGGGATTTGAGAGTAAGAAAGACGATTCTTCCAGCTACAGTAATACTGGTGTAGAAAAATGGGGTACTGCTGGAAGGTAGTCACTGATTGCAGCTGGGGGTCAAGCCGACTCGGGAGAGGACTGGACTGCTCCTCCTCAAGCGTTGGGGTCAACCATTCGCTAGAATTAAGGCCAATTTCTTGAGGCCTGACAGTCTTTAGGGAAAATAATTTGGAATTTCACCCTAGGCTTTGTAAAATATGCCATTTTTTTCCCCAAACTGGGGCAATTTTCCCTCTCTTGTTCAAGAACCCCAGGCTGTGAGTTTTGGAACATTTTATGCCTTTTTCCCAACTAGTATGAAAAATATCAAATGCTTATACATATCTTAAAGCTCCATCTGGTAAATGGAGATCTTTTTTATGTAATAAAGTTACATTCCTCTCATTCAATTCCTTAAATATTTACATAAAAAACAGGAACAAACTGAAAATTGTGAGCTATTTTTTTTTTATAAAAAAAATAGGTAACGAGGGAAAGGCACTAATTAAAAAACAGAAGACCATGCTCAGTCACATGATTAAAAAAAAATTAAAAGCTGTCGTGGTTAATGAAAACATGATCTGGTTGTAATGCAGGTTTTCTCAGAAAAATCCTACAACCTATTTACCATCTTCCCCTCTGCTCTACAGCCGTACAACTTTCAGACTGAAAAGCAGTGAGGAAAAAAAATTAAGACCTTATCTTAGGCAAAACACTGAAGGTAGAAGGATAGCTGGCGCGTGTGTGTGTGTGTGTGTGTGTGTGTGTGTGTGTGTTTAAACTGGCTAATGTATTTGGCTTCTTCTCTCAGTCTCTTCCCGAAGACTGTTTGCATGAACAGCAGATACCAACAGAGTTTCCTCTCTTCCTTTCATGGCATAGCATGGACTTCATTTAGCAATAACACTTCATACATTGATGCACTGGTGTTGGGGGGAAAAGGGACCAATGAACAAAAAGGGCCACCCCAGAAAGAACCAAAGAAATCCATTTTAATTTAAAGAAAAAGTTTTGGTGCATAAGTTGGACCCTTCTCCTGTCCCCTCCCCACAAAGTTCCATTCTGAGTGAAAAAAAGTGTTCCCCCTCATGCAGACCTGAGGGGACTCGGTTTTATGGCCTGATGACTGGAGATCTCTGGCTGTTGTTAGATTCTGAATGCGGACTGTACTGTTTTTCCTCTTTCCTTAAATAATCTTTAGCCATCTGCTCTAGATGTTCCGGTTCACGGGAGTAACGTAGTTGCGTGGAAACATGCCTGTTTGTCCGTGGCAGGCTCCTTTCCACCAGTTGGGGTCAGAATTGTCAAGGACCTGGATAAAGTCTCCCCGGCGAAAGCCCAGCTCTCCCTCTTCCTGAGGGTCGAAATCAAAAAGAGCCTGTACGTATGAGGGTTGCTGCAAAGAAGAGAACAGGGAATTAATCGAGGCCTCCAAATTGCTCGTTTTTCTTTTTTTTGTGGCATGAACTATGCGGTCTCTAGCCTACAGTCCGTGCATCTGAAGCTGTTGATACCGAGAGATGACTACAAATAGCGTCTTGCTTTGTGAGTTAATTCACTCAGTCGTAGAAACTGCAGCAAATCTTACTTCTATAGCAGTGGTGGCGAACCTATGGCACAGGTGCCAGAGGCGGCACTCGGAGCCCTCTCTGTGGGCACACGTGCCGTTGCCCCAGCCTTGCCTCCCCCCGTGATCTCATCTCCAGCAGCCCCCCTGAAGGAGACTCGCCCCCGAGCGTGGCCCACACGGAGCAGTGCAGCCAAGGACATGGCAGCCAGGCAGCGTAGACAAGACTCTGCCCTCACACCCCATCATGCAGTTGATGCTGCAGGATGCGGGCAGAGGGTGTGGCCGCCATAGCGCTGTTGGGCTGCCTGGGCGATCTGCGGTGGGCCCTGGAGGCGGTGAGGGTCCTGTGGGCAGGGGGGGCGGAGGATGGGGGATGGGGGGCAGAGCGGGGGCGGAGTAGGAGGGTGGAGCGGGGGCGGGGCCAGTTTTTGGGCACTCGGTCTCTAAAAGGTTCGCCATCACTGTTCTATAGAATGCTTATTCTGATATTCATAAAATATATATCATTTTATATAATCATTTTATACAATCTTATAACCAACTACGGCTTTAAAAGGTCTTATGATAAAAAGGGAGCAGCATTTTTGCGTTTTCGAGGTTGTGTCTAAAATATGAAATAGATCTACAAACATTGGGCAATGAAGTATTAATTCTGTATCATCTTACTACACAGATGTGATTTTGATACACGTGAGGCTGCTTTAACAACAAAGGCTATTCATATGAACCTGTTTCTTTTCTTCTTCTTTTTTAATCTATACAGATAGTCCTCAACTTACAACCATTTGTTTAGTGATGGTTCAAAGTTACAATGGCACTGGAAAAAGTGACTCATAACCGGTCCTCGCAATTATGGCGGTCCCCACAGTCACATGATTAAAACTCGGGTGCTTGGCAGCTGGCATGTTTTACAACGATTGCAATGTCCCGGGAGGGGTCATGTGATCACCATTTGCAACCTTTTCCCCCGTTTGCTTCTGACAAGCAAAATTAATGGAGGAAATTGGATTTGCGTAACCACCGCATAATTCGCTTAACAGTTGCAGTGACTCAATTAACAGTGGCAAAAAAAGGTCATAAAATCAGTGTTATTCACTTAACAACCGCCTTCTTAGCAATCTAAATTCTGGTCCCAATTGTGGCCATACATCAAAGACTACCTGTCCAAGAAAAATTTTAATGGCAACAGGAGGATTCATGTAATCCAGAGATGAGAAAACTATGACTTTCCAGGTGTTGCCAAATGGCAACTCCCTGCATCAGTTACCATTGGATATGATACCTGTAGCAAGGAGATAATACAATTCAGAAACCACTGGAGGTTCCCGGATCTGCTACCCTAATGTAAACTTAAGCTGTCAAAATGAAATTCCGTCCTTATGCATCTTCATGTGTCTACTACCTCTTCCTCTCTTTCCTTCTTTCTTTTATAGCTTGATGAGGAACTTTGTACGTGAGTTCATGACACAAAATGAATGAAAGGTTATTTGCGGTTTTACTCTAGCAGACAAGAGGTTACGTCTTTCTATACAAGTGGCTCATCTAATAAATTCTAGAACCTGATGGATTAACTATGCACAAGTCACAAATAACTCCACTCCACACCTTTGATCAGATTCAGATGAACCAGCAGAGATGCTCAACTAATGTCTGCAATCAGTAACGGACTGTAGAGATTCAGTCTAGCTATGACAGTAACAAATCCTTCTTTTAGCAAGTGATTCATCTAAGCAGAATCTGGTATTCCAACTGTTCTTGCATTTCATCTAAACAATCCAACTCAAGGTTAAGAGGTGGCTGACAGAGTATTGTTATCATTTGAGGCCCAAATGGCATACAGTGCCTTCTGCCTTTCCACACTGGTTGCACACAACTATGGATCTCTTGGACAAAGGCAGTCTGACAACAAATATCCATATACTAGCAACCTTGAGATTGGAGTAAGATAAAACATAGTACATAAGTCTCAGTCCCTAAAGCTGGCTCAGAAAATTGTCATGGTCCTTGGTACTGAAAGCCACTAAGAGATGCAGGAAGGCCAGACTCATCTGGGATGAATGGTCCACCCTCCTCTCAAGTCCTCCAAAGATCATCAGCAAATACAACCAAGGCTATCTCAGTGCTGTACCCCAGTCCAAACCTGACCCCACTGTCTCTTGGGTTACTTCCTATCTCAAGAGCTGTTTTGATAAACCATGGCGCTCTATAAAATCTACGTGGACTGAGCCTGCAGCCATGCATGTCTCAAAAGGTTACCAGCTATTTCGGAAAGAGAGTGTCCTGTTGTACTTTTTTATTGTATAATTTTTTAGAAATCCTTGAAGAATGGGTTATGTATTTTTTAAAAATAGTGTCATTATTGAAAACAGAGTAACTCCTAACACAATTTATCCTCATAAGTCACCAGGATTTTATTTATCATTCATGGGACACCCCCCCCACACACACAGGCTAAAAAAGACATTCATACAGGTATTCATAAAAAATAAAGGTAGTATTATGATTAGGAAAACTCCGAACATTTTCTTACCTGAGGCACTTGCTCAATGTCTCGGAGGAATATCTGTTGATTCCTGGAGACAGAGGTTGATCTGTGATAGTCTACCAGCTCATTCAGAGAATTGAACTTTACCACCCAGAGGAAATACTTGCCGGCACCGTCTCGAAGCACCTTGAAGTGCTGCACATCATTTCCGAATCTAAAAAGAAGGGGAAGAACATTCCAGATGTACTCACTGCTTTAATATTTCTCCCAGGCAAGGAGTATTCTTTTCTATATCTTCTTGCACATCTACAGGGTTAATCTTCAGCCAAGGGATATGCACATTGGGGTTTTGAGGATTTCTAGACATGAGGTGGCAGTACAAGCCAGCAGTCAATGTTACAAGTCAAGAAAATAAGTGCATATAACTTATGAGAAACGAAAACTCTATTAATTTTTGCAAGTCTAGAAATTCTCATTTATTACCATGTATTAGCAAAAGCTGAATACCAGTACTTAAAAGTTAAATCCAAGAATTAGTCCAGTCTGGTTGGCCAAGGTCCTCCCCCCCACTTTTTATCTCTGTTGTTCTAAGCCATCCACAGTTGCTAAGGTGTCAGGCAACCTCTAAATGTGGATAAACAAAAGCACAATCAGGCTATTAAGCCTGGATATTAAAAGAAGCCTGCCCCATGCCTTCTTTTTAAATTTTAAAAGATTGCATGACACAAAACTGATTCAGCAAAGTACTTTATTTTTCTGTAAGGCCACAAGCAAAAAAATATTTTCTGAATGCCTCTTTTGGTAGTGAATGCACTTGAATTAGAAATAGGTATATAGCTATGGATAACTGTTTAAAATTTTCCTGTGGATCGGATCATGTATCACTTTGGACTGGAAGACAAAAAGATGGTCTGAATCCTCTGGCACAAACATAGCCCTTATCTGCAACTTTTTAACTCTGCATCTTAGGGCTGCTTTATATAAAGCACTTGAGTTTTAGGGAGTTGCTGAGTGTGCTAAATTCATCCCCAGTGGGCTGAGACATGTTTTTTTCCCCTTCATAATCTCTACTAGTGTGTCGGTGTCCAAAGAGGACCATGAACCAAAAAACGTTCAGAATTGCGGAAAGTTAGAAAGTTTTCGACTATGAAACCCTAATAAAGCCATCCTTGCACCGGAGGAAATTTTTTAAAACTCCCTTTCTTTTTTGTTCTAGTCAATAGCTATTTCAATAACAGGAGTTTCAAAGATTGCAGCCAGACCATCAGTCAAATCACATCAAGTCAATCCAAAAGTAATACTCACTTGACTGAGAGGGAAAAATCACCAGGAGCACTTTCACTCTCTCTGATGAGGAAGGCACCATCATGTCTTTGTTTACCCAACATCTCCTCAGCCCTTGCTCGAGGAATCTTCCCAAAAAACCACCTGCGCACAACAGAGAACTGAAAATTAAGCCCAATTCAAATTACATGGAAAGAACAAGTCTGGACAGGCTTGTACCCGAGCAGCAACTTGACAAACAATATCAGCTAAACTGTTTTTGGAATGGGAATACAGGCCATAACTGTTTTAACTTGAGAAATGTTGGTATGGTGCCATTTTCAGAATTCATAATCTAGTATCCTTATAAATTCTGAGGCAGCATGGAATCTTAAAATGTTAAAGAAAATCCTTAGCAATGTTTTAAAACAGTGGTTCTCAACCTTTTTAATGCCGCGACCCCCAACCGGTCGTAAGTCGAGGACTAAACTGGTCGTAAGTCGAGGACTAAACCGGTTGTAAGTCGAGGACTACCCAACCGGTCGTAAGTCGAGGACTTTCCCTGCCCGGGAGCACCGCGCATGCGTGGTTCCGCCCCCTGCGCCGGCCGCGGCGTAGCTGGCAAGCGGCAGAGACGGAGCAGGCCGACCACCAGCTGGCCCAGCTCAAGGGAGGTAAGGCACCCGCCGGAAAAGGGGAAAAAAATGGCGGACAGCCTTGCTTGGTGACCCCCGTGAAATGGTCGATCGACCCCAAATGGGGTCGCGACCCACAGGTTGAGAACCGCTGTTTTAAAAGTTGAGAAAGATGGAATGATAAGAATACAAAAGATTCTTGCCTAGTTATTATGTAATACTTGGGTGTTAATAAATGTTCTCAATTCTCCAACAAACTATATCTATCAGTTTTGTTGATGAGGTTATATCAAGTTTCCCGTCATTACCAAAATCAGCATTGTATGGAATGGTGGAATATCTACAAAAATATGACAAGCAAAAGGAGAAGAATCAGTAAAGGTTCTAACCAAGCAATGACAGCAAATCTGGAGAGTGACACAGTTGACAATAGATTGGGAAGAGGTCAATCTATATATCAGTAACAAAAAAAGGAGACTTAACAGATTGTGCAAACTATTGTACACTGTATTCATTTAAACACAAGAAAAATAATTCTTAGACTCATCCAATGCAGGTTAGACTTTACATGGAAACGGAGATGACAGATGTTCAACCTGGCTTTAGAAAAAGTGAAGGAAGACTAACATTGGTATTGAGGTACTTTGGATAATTGAGAAAGGCAAAGAATACCAAAAAGAAGTCAGAATACATTTCATATTGAGCTGAAAGGCGTCCAGTTGTGTTGATTATGTCAAGATGTTGAGTGTACTTAGGAAAATCTCAGAACATTTCATTCTTTTTATGTAAAACCTATATATGGATCAAGATGTCATAGGCCTTACCAGCTTTCAGTTGTTTAATTGCGTTTGAAATTTCATCTGCAGTAATCTCTTCATTCATAAGTTTCTGTTGGTCTGATGTAAGTTTATATATTGATGAAGATTGTAAATATTTATCAATATCCTCGATTTTTATACTCCCTGAAGAGTATAAATGTGAGTAGAATTCTGTAAATGCCTTTTTAATCAGTTCTTGTTGAAATACCTCACGACCCTTAACCAAAACTTTGGATATAACTCTAGCTTTTTGTCTCTTGCGTAATTGGTAAGACAACCATCTCCCTGGTTTATTTGCATTAGCAAATGTATTATGTTTAATATACTTCAGATTGGTGGCCACCTGATCAGCAATTAACATATTAAATTGATCCTTAAGCATTTTAATAGAAGCCTTCAAGTTAATATCCGTTGGTCGCTGAGATAATAGTTTTTCTTTAATCCCAATTTCTTTTTCCAAGTTTAATCTACTCTGAATTTGCTTACGTTTATATGCATTATTCATAGAAATTAGCAAGCCCCTCAAATAAGCTTTGCTGGCATCCCAAACAGTATGTATAGGAGTATCTTTATTCAAGTTAAATTGAAAAAACTCTTCCATGTATTCCTTCAAGACTTTAACCTTGTCCTCATAATTAAACAAATTTTCATTTATTCTCCAGGATTTCCTTTTCTTTTGTTGACCAATCTCTATCCATACCATACTGTGATCAGACAAAGTTCTAGGAAAAATTTTGGTTTTATTACAATCAGTAAGCAGGTCAGTTGATGTCAAAACAAAGTCAATCCTTGAGAAAGACTCATGTCTATGAGAGAAAAAGGTAAAATCACGTTCATTCATATGTTGTGATCTCCAAACATCCACCAGCTCCAAATCTTCCATCATTGCAAAAAAAGATTTAGGGAGACCAACAGAAACTTATGAATGAAGAGATTACTGCAGATGAAATTTTAAATGCAATTAAACAATTGAAAGCTGGTAAAGCCCCTGGCACAGATGGTTTGACAGCAATTTATTATAAATCATTGTCAGTTGAAATGATTCAACCTTTAAAAATATTATTTAATAGAATTATGCAGGGAGAACAAATACCACAGTCTTGGACAAGAGCTTTTATATCCTTGATACCGAAGGATGAGAAGGAGGTTTTGGAACTTAAGGATTATAGACTTATTTCTTTGCTGAACGTGGATTATAAAATTTTTGCAAAAATTTTGGCTAATAGACTGATGCAGATACTGCAATATTATATACATGATGACCAAACTGGTTTTATATCTGGAAGATATATGAAGCAGAAAAAAATTGATAAAACCTTCAAAAATCATATAATAAGGACTGCATTGTTAAGAGTCTGGCAAAAATATTTTTTTAAGTTTGATATCAAGCTACCACTCTGGGTGATACCTTCACATATTTTTCAAGCCATAACTAAAGGAGTGGTAATAGAGGGACTTACATATAAAGATTTGTTATACCAGAGTGGTGGTGGT